ATCTCTATTTTATTTAAATATGTAATTCTATTAAAATAATTTTAAAAGTAACTAAAATTATTTAGAAAATCGTATCGATCATACCAGTCCGACCGACTGGTGTTGACGGATTGGATATCAAATATTTTATTCAAGGGAACTAGACTGGTTATAAACCGGTTCTCGGTCCATCTGGTTAGACTGCGTCTAACCCAGTTTAATTTAAAATAATAAATAAATAATGATTAATGTAATTTATAGATTTAATTTATAAGACAATCGTGATATTTTTTTCCTGGGCATCGCGGGGAGCACGCATTAATAATTGATAATTATTACCTCGTTTGGGGTCGTTCCACATTACCTCATTTGGGGTCGTTCCACATTACCTCGTTTGAGGTCGTTCCATAGTTAGGGCTTTGTGTTGTGTTGCGTTGTTCGTTCAGGTGTTGGTGTTTGAGTCGTTTTCATTCTAGCCTTGCTAGCGAATCTAGGCGGACCTCGGTTTAGCCTCCCAGTTTGTATTTTCGCACTTTTGTGCGCTTATCTATAGTACATCTATCGTTTCGACCAAAAAAAAAAAAAAATAAAATTTAAAAAGAATAGAATAGAAGGTAATTGTTGAAGGTAGTGCTCTTACGACAGGATGGATTTTTCCCCTATATCACATACCCAAAAGTTTTTTTTAGAGACTAAACAAGAATTAATTTTGGGCTTTATGGATTTAGCCAAGAACTCCAACAATCCGACGACATACGTCAACAAATAATAATTTTTATTTTTCTATACCTTTGCTTTATAATAAAAAATAGGGCGAATTTTACGTGGTTCAAATAATTGACATATCCCAGCCGCGGTCGTCCAATCAATCCCCTAAAAATGGACAACGCCGACCCGTCATCCGGTGAACTGAGGTCCGGTTTTTGCCCCAAAACCAACACCTTCTACAGCCTCCGTCCACCCGTTCACCTTCCGCCGGAAAAAGCTCCACTCTCCGCCGCCGATTATGCCTTTTCCCTTCACTCTGCTACCTCCGCGTGCCTCGACGCCGCAGCACTCATCGACGCCGCCACCGGCAACCGCATTTCCTACTCCCAATTCCGCCTCCGCGTCGAGGCACTGTCCGTCTCCCTACGGTCGGAAGCTGGCCTCTCCCCGAACGACGTCGCATTCGTCCTCTCACCTAACTCCACATGCGTCCCTATCCTCTACTTCGCGCTCCTCTCCATCGGCGTCGTCATCTCACCGTCCAATCCAATCAGCACGACCGCCGAAATCGCGCGCCAGCTGAAGATCTCGATGCCGACGGTCGCGTTCGCCACGTCAGCTACCTCCGAAAAACTCGCCGCCCACCGATTGAGAACGATTCTCATCGACTCGGCCGACTTCGCGCGCATGATGTCGAGAGGGGCCGCCAGCGAAACCAGCGGCGTGCGGGTGAGACAGAACGACGTCGCCGCCATACTCTTCTCGTCCGGCACGACGGGGCAGGTGAAAGGGGTGGAGTTAACGCACCGCAATTTCATCGCGGTCACGGCCAATTACTTCTACCAAAGGCTGGAGAAATCGTCTCCGTCGGTGGGCCTTCCAACGGTGCCATTGTTCCATGTGTTTGGGTTTCATTACTTGTTGAAATCGGTGGCCCTGGGCGAAACGGTGGTGGTGATGGGGAGGTTTGATTTGGGGAAAATGCTGAGGGCGGTGGAGGAGCACAAGGTGACGTTGCTGGCGGTGGCGCCGCCAGTCGTGGCGGGGATGGTGAAGAGTGATTTGACTCGGAAATTTGACCTGCAATCGCTGGAGGCTGTGGGCTCCGGCGCCGCCCCACTTGGATTAGATCTGATTGAAGCTTTTAAGAAGAAATTTCCGAAGGTTTCTCTGTACCAGGTTTGTCAGTAGAACATCCTTTTCATTTTGCATATAAGGTTGCTAGATGCTCATGCTCTTCAGGAATCTAGCTTAATTAGAAAATTTATATATATATTTTTTTTTTCAATATTATGAAAACTCTTATATTGAAATTTAAAATATATATATGTATATATTATATATAAATTTGAATTAACAAATGAATCAATGTGTTTAATCCCATACTCAATAGATTGTCAAATTCGTGTCTAGCAATCCAATGCAACTTGACAAACACTCCTGAAATTGTAACCCATAAACATATATTTTAGGTTTTTGTTTACATTCATCTACTTTCATTGGAGAACCTTAGATATACATTTTTTTTTTTTTTTTT